TAACCGCTTTTTATATTTTAAAAATAATTGTCAAATATTATTAACGTCTAATAAGTTTTCGTTTGGCACAGGAAAATTAAAAAAAAAATTCTCACCATAGAAACATTTTATTTTACCATAGAACATTGCTACGGTTTGGCACACACACAAAAGCCCAAAAATTAAATTTTTTAACTAATAAAATGGAAGAACAAAAAAATATATCTCCAGCATTGAAAAAATATATGTAATTATTTTCGCTTCTTCGGAAGTCATTAAACATCACTTCCACAAAAGGTAAAAAAATTCAATTAGTGCTACTTTTGAAGTGGTGATAAATGTTATTCTTTTGGAAGTACTTTGTTTCCTTTTTGCTGGGTTAACTATTATTTTGTTCATTCTGGAGAACATTATTCACTGTAGTATTCGTCCTTACATTCCTCACAAATCTCCATACCTCATGGCATTATCTTTAAGATATTCCACATTCAATTTATTCTTAGCCTTCACAGCTCTCGTTCGTATACATAAGTATTGTATAAATTATAGATTCACACACCCTTAATCCTCCAAAGATTTTAGGATCTCAACACCATCAATAGTCATTGAACTGATGTTTTTTCTCGGAAAAGAATCTACCTTTAAATATATTACAAGTGGGAAATATTATTTCTATAGGAGAATGATGTCCACCACTGAATAACAAAGTTAGAGATTTCCATTCATATTTCCAATTAGGAGTAGAGTACATTCTAAAAAAGGTCTAAAAAATTGTTTCGTAAGTTAGTAGTAGAAAATTAGTATTATTAGATAAATAATCATGTACCTGTTTTTTCTCCGTAGACTAATGACTACACCACCCCACCAATCAGATCTCCTTTTCTCAACTAAATTGAAATCCATAATTATATTAATCTAACGAGCCACATACCTCCTGACATACTTCCCAAATATCTCTGTTTTGATCTACAATTCTTTACTCGTGCGTCCCAACGAACCACAGTTATGACATTGCTTTACAGCCAGATATAAAATGTTCACACTAAGCCTAGTGTAGTTTAAAATAATCTCATCCGGAACTACTGTTCCTGCAAATCCAATTTTGACAGAATAAGTCCTTATGCGTTCATCATTTCATCTTCCTTTCCTCAAAAACTTTCTTACGTATTTAAATAGGTGACATACACTGAAGATCTAATAATCACTTTCTTACATATGTAGGTGACATGCACTGAAGATCTAATAATCACTAAGATGACTCACCCCATAAGTCTCTAAACTAAACTAGATATTTTATCTGTGACAAATATATTCGTCATCATTACATTTTCAAATCTAACTAAAGTTCTAATCAAAATCTAATCGAAAGTTGAATATCAACCAATATAACCATCAGATTTCACCACCAACATTATCTTTTATTGTTCTTCAAATACGTTTCCAATTTTGGCATTCTTCTATTAATCAACTATTTTCTTCCTTTATTAGAATTCTACCAATTATCATTGTTCTTCGCCCGTTGTGAGACTAAAAACGTAATTTAACCCTTTTTCAAGTGCTTTGCATTTTTTGTAACTTCAATAAAAACTTTAAGGGCGGGTGTTTGAGTTGGCAATCAAATGCCAATTAATTATCAGATTAGCTAATCTAAAAATAAATTTAATCTGATGTTAATCTGCTTTTTGAGTACAAGATTGAAGAAGAAGAATAACAAAACAAAACGAGTTTCCGAGTACGAGAAACTCCGTACCGCGAGAGAGATGAATGATATTTCGTTCTCTTTCTCTCTCATGCAAAATCAAAAGTTTCCCAAAAATAGTTTCCTAGTGTGGACCGGCAATAAATAAAAAACTCTTTATTGGAGATTCTAACTATAATAGTTTTCAAGATATAAATTTTTTACATACCTATTAGTGATACCCTTATCCAATCCCTAGACCAGTTTTATGTTGACCGGGTGCTCCGTAACTGGATCAACTACATGCTAAGGAACAGATGGATAAGCTGCGAGATGTACGATATAACTATCAGGAAAAAGGTATTTCGCGGTATACCACAGGGTGGCATTTTGTCACCTTTACTCTGGGTTACCACGATTAATAGCCTCCTAAGGACCCTGAGGCCTTGAGCTGGGCTCAACCGAGAGGCCGCAATGTTAACCCGGCGAAGACGGAAATCTGTCTTTTCACAAGAAAGACAAAAATTTCTACATATACTGAACCTTGCTTCTTGGGCAAGAAGATACCGGAGACAGACAAAGTTAAGTACTTAGTTGTAATACTTGATCGGAAATTAAAATGGAGACACCACATAGAGGATAGGATCAACAAGGCACATCGGTGCTGGGCGATATGTAGGAGAACCATAGGCATGAAATGGGGTCTTAGTCCTACTATGACAAATTGGCTTTATAAAAGTGTAATTAGACCAATTCTAGCTTATGCTTCAATAATCTGGTGGACTGCTTTGGACAAAAAGTGTAATATCAAACTACCACAGGGAGTTCAGCGTACATGCTGCTTGGGTATAAGTGGTGTACCATGTGTACTACTTCAACCAAGGCTCTGGAAACGTTGCTAGATATTCCACCCATTGAAACATTTATAAGATATGAGGCGGCGCTTACAGCCGAACGGCTCTTTACTTTAGGCGAACTGGCCAAAAACGGTTATAGGACACGTCATCAATGTATACTGGACACATTGGAAGGTTATACACATTCATCGGACGTGCCTGATCGCATACCAGACACTGAATATGTCGGAAACTTTGAAACGCTAATCCCAGATAGAATGTCTTGGTCAAGCGGAACATTAGAGCAAATACCAGTAGGAATCCGTTGCTACACGGATGGCTCTAAATTAGGGGACAAAGTGGGCCTGGGGTTCTATATTGAAGACCCAGAAACAGAAATATACCACCGTTTACCTAATCATAACACAAGTTTCCAGGCAGAAGTACGAGCAATAACGGAATGTGTAAATTGGATTAGAATAAATATGGCGCCCACAGGGCTTAATATATTTACCGACAGCCAGAAGGCAATTTGTGCGATATCAGGTGATAGAATTAAATCTAAGACCGTATTGGATTGTAAGAAAGCTTTAACTGAATACTCTCCCAGAGGTAAGGTTCACATCATATGGGTACCAGGCCACTCGGGAGTAGTCGGCAACGAAAGGGCGAATGTAATAGCTTTAAAGGGAAGGGAGCTCGATGTAGTTAACCTGACAAACGCAAAACCATTCGACGCAACAAAAGCTGAATTAAAAATATGGATGAGAGAATCCCATAAGGCCTCTTGGAATAATGAAACGGTGGGTAGAACCACAAAGATTCTATGGGGTGACCCTGATGAGAGCAAGACGAGAAATCTTCTCAAAATGAGCAAGTCTGAGGTTAGTATGATGGTACGTATTCTGAGTGGACACACAGGATTACGAGCACACCTATACAAAATTGGACGTGCGGATTCAGACGAATGTAGAGCATGTGTAGAGGACAATGAAACTCTGGAGCACTTTCTTTGCCATTGTCAGGCATTCGTCGAAGTTAGATCCAAGTATCTTGGAAGTAATGTTATTCCGGAAATAACATTCTTAACCAACACCGATTTGAATATTCTTAGGAATTACGTCCAGGAAACTGAGTTTCTGAACATGGAAAAATAATACATTCAGTGAACAAATTTTTTTTTTCTTGAATTGGAGCGCACAACAGGCCCGATAGTGGCCTAGGTGTATTTCTTCGGATTTGATGTAGTATACATCCTCCTATCAACCTAACCTATTAGTGATGCCACGCAAATTATTACAAGTTCGCCAATTTTTTCAAACGTTAATTTAGATTTTAATGTAACCTATGAAAAATTTTAATAATATAATAGTTTCCCAGATATACGAATTTTTTTATTTAATTCATTCCCCCTAATGAAAATATTTAAATAAATTTGATGATTTTAGGTTTATTAGTTTCCCAGACAAATGACAAATGTTCACATGGATGTCAAAGTTGTTCTTGCAAAATTTGAGGATTTTAGCTCTAATAATTTCTCAGATATACGAATTTTTCTATTTAATTCATATGGGGCGTTACAAGCTCCCCTGATGAAAGTCCACCCTTTGTCTCAAAATATTCAGATGAATATTAAAGTTCTTCGTGCAAAATTTAAAGCTAGCTTTGTATATTTTATTCATATGGGAGGAGCTATGTCCCACCCCCCAATGGTAGTCCGCCAATTTATTACCCAAAATGTTTACATGGATGTTATAGTTCTACATGCTAAATTTGAAGATTCTATCTCTAATATTTTCCTAGATAAGTGAATTTTTGTATTTAATTCATATGAGAGGTGCCACGCCCTCTACTGCTAGTCCGCCCCTTTTTCCTTAAATAATCATATTGACACTATAGTGGTTCTGACAAAATTTGAGGACTCTATCTGTTATATTTTCTCAGATATACTGATTTAATATTTTCTTCATATGGAAGTTGCCACGTCCACTAGAGGCATTCCGCTCATTTTGTCCAAAAATATTCTTATGGATGTCAAAGTTGTCCATACAAAATTTGAGGACTCCAACTCTTGCAGTTTCTGAGATATGGGACTCCTACATAGCGCCTAACATCTATAAGCTTTGTTGGTTCTATTATCTATGTATATGGTATTTCCATTTAGTTTTCGATCGAGGTTTATGCCTAGATATGCAGCTCGAAAGCGATATTTAGGGTCTCCTTGGGCTTTCCGCATAAATAATTATAGATTTACAACAGTCTGCGAGATCACCTGGTGTATTTAATTTATCAGTTAAGGTTGTTTAGAGACTATTAATTGCGGATAAGTTTAAAATCATCTTCGATATCAAATCGGAATTAGTAACATTAAGAAGAAAACACATTTTTAGTCCAAATTTTTGTATAAGTATTTACATGCATGCAAAATACTTTTTTGATTTTGACGTAATTGAAAAGGGACTCTGGTCTTAACACTTTCTTTAATAAATACTCAAATGGATTTAGATTTTATTTTGAAGGAATTTATTATGGCAAACATTTATACTAGGTAAGAACATTTACATTAAATTGTATGATTTATGTTTATGCATCTGCTGATTCTTTATATTTTCTTTTTTATTTATTTTATTTACAAAGTTTACGAGTTTTTTGTTTTAGTCTTAGTAATGCACGTGTCGTGTAAAATAGTAGTAGTATTAAGTTGTAGTAAGTAATAGTATAATTAATAATTGTTGTTTTTTTTTTGTTTGGTTACAATAACATAAATGATTGTTATACAAATGTATTTTGTATTTTATTTACTATTTTTAACGTTTAACTAAATAAATGCAATTTTAAGTTTGTGAATTGTTTATTTTTTTGTTAAATATACATTGAAATGTATAAAATAAAACTAACTAAAAATCTAAAAGTTAATTTAAATGTTGTGTGTACGTTTTTTGAATTTTGTCTCATTTTATTCACTAAAACTAATTGGAAATAAAGATTTATTTTATAATAATGTGCATTATGTATTTCCATACAACATTACAGTGGCGAATAAAATTGTGCAACGTAATGCCGAAGGCATCTTATATATCTGCATTTCTTAATGTATGTTCATCGGTTGAATCAAAATAAAAATTTCCGATGGTGGCATAATATGTAAAGTTATTTACTTTACTTAAAAAATCTGCTGTGTCTTGAAAGTGATGGGTGTAGGAATATGCATTTTTCTCTTTTTTGGCTCGTACTAAATGAAATGCTCTCATTTCTACTGCGAAATGTACAGCAAAAGAATTTAATAATCTATAATTGATTTAATTGTAAATTATCTAATTGCTCAATGAATTATAAAATAATGTTAAATAAAAATAGACGGAGAACGCATTAGTTTGGTTCAGAATTTAATTGGAAAACTTTGTTTTGATTATCTTGATTGCCATATAAGACATAGAGACTGTCGTCGGGTGTTAAATCCATAGCGAAATTATTTAATGATAATGTTAAAAGCTCGGTTTTATTGGTCAGTGCTACTACGATATAAGTACAATTTGGTAGAACTTCACACGCTGAAATTTGTCCAGGAGGCTTGAAGACAGCTAAAGACTTTCCTGTAAAATGAAAATAAAACATAATATAATAATGTGCAAAGCCTATTTAAATACTTAACAGGAGCTGTGTTCCAGAACATTTCTGACTAAAACCTGTAGAAATGTTAAGCTTGAGAATAAAAGTACTCAAAATTTATATTATACTAGGTTTTTGTATCCGGATCATAGATCAATTTATCTAAATTATCAATGACTTTTCGTTTTACCGCCGATAAAGAAATATAAAAGTTTCGTCGACTTAAAACAACTCAAATTTATTTGCTTTACATCGGAAAGCTTTAATAAAAAGCATGAAAAAATTCAAAACTACAATTATATTACTAAAACTAAAATATATTTAGCCTTGGATAAAGGATATTCGTTGACTTAATGCTAATTTTTCCCCTTTTTTTCTTCGTTTCGAAAAATTTCTCTTTTCCCCTAAAGGTCTCCTTATCAAATTTATTTCTTGTGATCTTATAAAGCTACTAATGAAAATTCGTTCAAAGGTACAAAAAAAAAGTACCAGAAATACTAACCTTACCCTCTTTATTGAATTTCCCAAATTTATGTTGTTTAATAAGTTTTGAAACATTTCATAAATCGATATTGAAAAATTCAGTCCTTGGAACATTTATTAAGAAAAATCACGAAAGTCCCCTTGACCCCCTTTTCCCTTAAATTTCAGAAAATACAAAAAAGCGAACATTAATGTAAATTGTATTTAAAACCTGCAAACTTGACAAGTAAAGGAACACAGCTTGTAATATACATATATATGCACATTTGTATATAATTCTTGACAAAATTATTTGGTACCTGTACTGAGTTCCCATAGACGTAAAGCATTATCGCGACCTTCTTTATCTGTCGACATAAGCACTTTTCCCATGGGGTCTATTTTAAGACTTGTGACCGGAGCATTGTGTCCTATCAGCGTTGACCGACAATTCCCCGTTACCAAGTCCCAAATGAGAATTTTAGCATCTTCTAGACCAGCAATAACGCATGCATTGACTTGAGAGATTGCCAAAGACACAGTGTTACATGTTGGTTTCCATTTCTTAAATAGAGTTCCACTTTGCAAATCGTATACAACAATAAAATTTGGTGTAGGCTCATTCAATTCTTTTGCAACCACACATACGTAAGATCCTTCATGAGTTATGGCGGACAATGATGTTATAAAATCATGATGTGGTATCCGCAGATCATAAAGCAACTTTCGCTGTGTTAAGTGCCATACTAATAAAGGGAATGGTTTTTGTGTTTCATCTCCGCAGACAAGAATCCTTAAAAATATAAAGATAAAGTAGTTTTTAGAAAAATCTATAATTCCATTTTAAATTAAAAGGTATAGCATTTTTTGCTCAATATATCATTAGTATATAATATATCCGTTTTTTAACGTGTTGTAATTAGTTCGATATATTAATATCGATCGTTCACATGTATGCATATATTATTACCTTCCATCTCCAGATACTAGTAAAGAGTTCAGAAAACGATCTTCGCCGGCTTTGAATGTAGTAACACAATCTCCAGACTCTAAATTCATCAGATTAACATACATCCTATTACGTGACAAACAAACCAAATGTTTTTGATCATGCAATCCAAAATATGGCATTTTTTGATTCATAACTCCTTTTAGAGCAACCTGAAATGACATAAAGAAATGCTCAGAATAAACAAAAGTAAAGAAAAGTGAGTTCATACTACTAGGGACGATAATACAATCTTAAAGAGATTTGCATTATGTATTTGGAAAAAAAAAATATGTATTAATTTAAAATAACGAACAAAAAAAACAAATAAACTAAAAATAATTTTTATACCCTCCACCACCATCAGTGGTGATAGAGGGTATATATAACTTTGTCATTCCGTGTGTAACACCAAGAAATATTCATCTGAGACCCAACAAAGTATATATATTCTGGGTCCTTATGAAATTCTGAGTCGATTTAACTATGTCCGTCCGTCCGTCTGTCTGTCTGTCTGTGTAAAACACGCTCACGTTAAAACGAAGCATTATAATATATAAATTCACCCAAAACATTCATTATTATCCGGTACAGTTTGGTATTGAAAATGAGCAAAATCTGTTCACATTGAGAAAAGTTATGAATCAAAATTTAAAACAACCTCGAAAAAAATAAGCATTTTTTACACATTCTGATGTAATTTTCTCGAAAACTATGCAAGATAATTTCATGAAAGTCATCATACATTCGTTTCTACACAAGATATTTATTTGTGCTGAAAATTGCCAGCATCGGTCCATAATTTCATATACCTCCCATACAAAAGTGCATATTCCCGGAAAATAAGTTTTTTGTTAATAACTTCCGTCAGAATGTTGATATCTTCACAAAATTTTACAAATTAAAATCTTATGTTAATAGAAAATCACTTAAACGCGCATAACTCATTACTAAATTAAGATATCCATATAAAATTTGGAATAAGTATTACTCATATGCACAGAAATATTACTATAAATTTTTTTTCCGATCGGTCCATAATTGGTCATAGCTCCCATATAAGGTCCCCTCCCGAAAATCACTTAAACGCACATAACTCATTACTAAATCAAGATATCCATATAAAATTTGGTACAGGTATTGCTCATATGCACAGAAATATTACTGTGACAGTTTTTTTTCCGATCGGTCCATAATTGGACATAGCTCCCATACAAGGTCCCCTCCCGAAAATCACTTAAACGCGCATAACTCATTACTAAATTAAGATATCCATATAAAATTTGGAATAAGTATTACTCATATGCACAGAAATATTACTATAAATTTTTTTTCCGATCGGTCCATAATTGGTCATAGCTCCCATACAAGGTCCCCTCCCGAAAATCACTTAAACGCACATAACTCATTACTAAATCAAGATATCCATATAAAATTTGGTACAGGTATTGCTCATATGCACAGAAATATTACTGTGACAGTTTTTTTTCCGATCGGTCCATAATTGGTCATAGCTCCCATACAAGGACCCTTCCCGAAAATCACTTAAACGAACATAACTCATTACTAAATTAAGATATCCATACAAAATTTAGTACAAGTATTGCTCATATGCATAGAAATATTACTATGAAATTTTTTTCCGATCGGTCCATAATTGGTCATAGCTCCCATATAAGGTCCCCTCCCGAAAATCAACTAAACGCACATAACTCATTACTAAATCAAGATATCTATATAAAATTTGGTACAAGTATTGCTCACATATACAGAAATATTACTATGAAATTTTTTTCCGGTCGGTCCATAATTGGTCATAGCTAACATACGAGGTCCCCTCCCGAAAATCACTTACACACTCATAACTCATTACTAAATTAAAATATCCATATAAAGTTTGGTACAAGTATTGCTCATATGCACAGAAATATTACTGTGAATTTTTTTTCCAATCGGTCCATAATTGGTCACAGCTCCCATACAAGGTCCCTTCCCGAAAATCACTTAAACACTCATAACTCATTACTAAATTAAAATATCCATATAAAGTTTGGTACAAGTATTGCTCATATGCACAGAAATATTACTGTGAATTTTTTTTCCAATCGGTCCATAATTGGTCATATCTCCCATACTAGGTCCTGCCCCGAAAATTTTAATTTCCTTAAGTTTTTCACACAAATTATTAAGTATCGTTAAAGCATATCTTAGGGCGCTATAAAAATATAAAAGAAAATGGGGTTTGTAATGTTCAAAAAATCTTGGAATTGTAACAGATTTAAGCTGTTTAACTCTTGGGGTTTTTCTATTTAAGACATGAGAAAACTTATTTCTATAAATATTTGATCAATTACAACAGTATTAATATAAAAGTAGCTGGTGGAGGGTATTTAAGATTCGGCTCAGCCGAATATAGCACTCTAACTTGTTTAAACTTACCTTAAATTTACCATCATCCAAATTGATAACCTTGATCTCTCTTCTGCATAATACGGCTGCGTTATATGTACCGAATGGACACATGGCTGTTGGTTGTGGAATACCCTGAAGAATGCGAACTCGTGAACAACTTTTAACATCCCATATGCAAATTTCTTCTCTCTCTGTGCTTATTGATGCGGCAAAAAATCCTGGATGAGGCAAGTTAACTATAACGTCGTAACTGATCTTTCCGGTTTGAAGTTCATCTCCAAAATTTGTGTTTATTATGTCTAGGAATGGAATCTCTAATTCATTCGTACATTCAAGCCATGACCGAATAATCTGATCATCATTCAATGACGGATCTTCTCTAATGCGAGATTTCATGTAGAATTTTATGAGCGTGAAAAACTGATGACCATCGTAGTTCAATTCATGCATATATTTTTTAAGGAAATCTTTTAACAAGCGAATATGTACATATGGCTGATCAGATGTACCAGATATTTTTTCAGATATCAATACGTCACTCATTAGGTGTGCCGGTCCAGTAGCGTGCACTTTATCAGCCATCCATTGTAGTTCAGTAAAGTAGAAACAGTGGAATAGTATTTCAACTTTATTCAGTCCTAAATGATCTTCCATTACATTACAGAAGTGATGGTAAGGCAACTTTAAGAATTTTTGATAATTGTATCTAAAATGTTGGTAAAGAAGTGTGCTTTAAAGACATTAATCAGGCAAAAATGCAAAATACTTACATAGGAATTATTTCCTTTAGGCCCGTGAAGTAGTTCTCTTGTCTGTCAAAATATTCTCGTATAATTTGGTGGACATGTGCATGTTTACTCTTATACTTTGACAAAATGGCATTTCGAAATGATTTATCAGCAATTCTAATATTTCGTATCGATAGTAGCATTGGGCCCATAAGCCAACAAAATTTCGACCAAACCCTAAATGCGACCTGCGCATCAATTTGGCTTATTCTGTGAAATATGTCAATGCAATCGCTTTCTCTAATACCCCATTCTGATAGTGAGAGTATTAGCATCATTATTTCTGAATGGTCGCTTGAAAATTTTGATTCCATAACCTGCAAAATTTTGCCCAACATTTCGGATATGTCTGTCATTGAAATAGATGTATGGCCCAGCCAAGCTAACCACCACAGAGATTTGGCATGAAAAGGTGTTTTACCATGTAACATTTTCCATTCTTGTGGCATTTTAATGGCCCCATTTGCCGCATAAAAATCTCCACCACCGGAGCTTAGAATATCCTGCCACTGCCGTTCACTGAATTGCTTCATTTTGATGAAACACCTATTAGGAATTCCCGTTTCAATGAGTTTTTCAATCAAAGGATTTTCCTCATTGTTATTCTCTGTCAAGGTTAAAATTATTTTGCACATGTTGCTCAAATTAATTGGAAGCCATTCTAAATTAGTTCCATCCATAATGTCATCTACCGAATCGATTATAATAACAAAAAAACATTTTGTGCTTTTGATAACATCCTGTATTACTTTCGAGTAGTTCTCGAGAGTCTAAAAGAAGGAAAAGAAAAGAGACTTTTAAATAATAATAAACAAATAAGTTGATATACAAATTAATATCTATTGTCGATCTCTATAGATAGTTAATACAAAGTACCGTGGAATAGTAAAGTATACTAATCGGCTAAGATTCTATTAAGCTATGTGCGTACGATACTGATCGCAATTTACCATATAGAACAAAGCCTATTGAAAATGGTTGAAATCGGACTATTATTTCACTTAGCCTCATACAACCGTTACAAATTACTAGCAAAAAAAGAACTTCCAAAGAAGCGAAAAAGAAGTAGAAATTAACTCCATTGAAGTACTAAAAAAGGCCTGAAGAAGTGATGATTTTAACATAGGCTTGTCATAGGAGGATGTCCTTTATATTTCATTCCAAATTCACTACTTCTGCAGTCATTCCCAAGATATATTTTTATGCTCTTTTTTTGAAGTTATTCAGAAGTGAAATTATATTATTATAGAATACAGCTAATTTGACTTAATTAATATTAACATTAATAAGGGTTTTAGATACATTTAAAACAGAAGCCCAAAAATATATATGTCTTCAGCATTGAAAAATAAAATTATTTTCGCTTCTTCGGAAGTCATTAAAATCACTTCTACAGAAGGTAAAAAAATTCACTAATTGCTACTAGTGAAGTGGTGATAAATGTTATTCTTTTTGGAAGTACTTCGCTTTATTTTAAGTCAAAAAACAACTTAAATGCTTTATTATTAGAAATAATCCATATTTTTTACATAATATTTAATGATATAGGGTATCAGATGGTCGACAATGCCAGACTATACATTCTTGTTACTGTATAGGTTAAATTATTTTTCTTACACATACCCTAAATACTTATTACTAGGAAATATATATGAAATTTTCAGTTTTCAAGGCCCTTTAAGTTGTAAAATTGTTTCAAGGCAGATTAATGATACCAAAGTTTTTAAATCAACAATGAGTTTGTAAAATTTTTTCCTTCTAGGTTACAAACCTGCATAATAGGGTGAGTCGAAATCCAACTTCTAATAGTAAAATATTGTATTTCAACGTCAAATGGAAGGACATTCATATCGAATAACAAATTTTTCGGCATCACGAATGGGACTGACAATATAAAATTCGTATTACTGGATGCCCATTGTACTTTTATTTGACGTTAAAAGACAATATAATTTAATTATTAGAAGTTAGTATAAAATATGTATATCTACTAGGGTGATCGATTATTCGACATTTTCCAAAAACCGGTTTTCGAATAGTTCGAATAGTTGACATTTTAAAAAAACCGGTTGATATTTTTCAAATTCAGAAAAAACCGGTTAACCGGTTTTTCATTTTAAATAAAAAAATATATTTTAATTTGAAAAACTTAATGTTTATGTTTAAATTTGATGAACATGGCCCGACATGATTTTTAACAGTTTAAAAGATTAGAACTATAGATCTAGTCGTCTGATTTACATTATTTCATTAATATAAAAAAATTAGGAAAAAAGTGGGACACTTCTGTTAAACATAAGGTACTATGTAATCCTAGCTTATTTTAAAAGCCCTGTTTAGGAAATTAGGCATTCCAACACTTCCATAAAATTTCAGCCGTAAATTAATTATTGTAATTGGAATATAATCTTAAGATTGATAAAATTTTATCAAACAGTTATCAATTTTACAAATAATTTTTTTCAATTAATTAGGAAAATCAAAAAAGTTTAACCAAAGGAGCTTTAGAAGCTTTAGGAGCTTTAGCTCCTCGACTCAAATATTTTTAAAATTTAGCTGTATTATTATTTACTTAAAAATTTCATTTTAATAATCTTTGAATACAAAGCAAATAAAAGTATTCGAAACCGGTTTTTAAAAAGTGAAAAAACCGGGTTATTCGATATTCGAAAAATCAACATTAAGAAAAAACCGACACTGGTAAAGCAGAAAAAACCGGTTTTAAAACCGGTTGAAAAATCGAGTCGATCACCCTAATATCTACATTAAGGATTCTACGCGTCTGTCAAAAAAGTAGAATCAATGTATTTGTATAGCTTAGAATTTTTTTCTACTTTTATAAACGTCACAAGCGAACATGTCAGCTGATTTTGGCTATATATATATATATATATATATATATATATATATATATATATATATATATATATATATATATATATATATATATTCTTGTTTTAATGTGTATTTATTAATTTTAATAAATTAAAATGTGTTTAATGTTGAAAAATCGATTTTTTAAACCATTCACAAACAAAGTTACAAGAATTTTTAATAGTATAATCTACATATCGTCATATGAAATCCAAAAGGCCCTAAGATACAAAAAAATCAAAATCGACTTTTTGATTGATTATGATACACCGTATTAAAATACATGTTCCTGCTAAATTTTACAATCAAAATCAACTTCGCTATCTTCGAAATTTTAAAAGATTATGTTCTAAAAATACCTTAAAATTCATAAAAATTTTAAAATTCTTTTGAGTTTTTAACTTCGAATTGTAAAATGTTATAAGTTGGCATCAAATAAAGCAAAACCTTGCGATTTATAGATTTTTTTAACGGCTTTAGGTTTTTTTGAAAAAAAAAAATCCAATTTCCGAAAATCTTTATGAAAACAAAGAAGCCTTATGCTTTCCATGTTTCGGCCTATTTCACCAACAAAAACCGATTTTAATTTAGTTAAAAATGATGAATCTTACTATTTTTTAATGTAACTTACGCCCTTTTGGGTTTCAGAAAAAACAAATTCTCATGGGCGTAAGTTTCATATCTCCGCAATTAAAACAAAAACCGAAAATTTTATTCAAATACCAATCTGTCAATAAAAAAAGCTTAACTTGAGAAAATTTTGAAAAGTTTTTGTTTATTTTTCATTTTAAAAGGTTTATTAAATTCGTGTGTCAAACAATGACACTAGTTTAAATTGAAAATTTCCAATTTTGTATTAAAAAATTTAATATTTTGTTTAGAGTAAATATCGAAAACTTTAAAGCATTTGAACCGGAAACTTTTATACTATATAAGCTCTATTTTTATATGCTCTATTTTTCAAAAAAAAATTAGAAAAGTTATGATCCTAATGTATTACTTACATGTTCCATTCTAATTTGATGTCCGTAGGCCAAAATCGACATTTGAGAAGCAATCGAACCCAATACGGAGACCAGATCAGATGATCTAACACCAAGATTTGCATATCTATATATAAAATAATTTTAATATTATTATGTATGTATTTATATTTTATTGATTTGTGAAAATCCAAATTCTTACCTTAGCACTAGATTAAGTTCAGGCTTCCATCTGTGTATGTTTTCAACAATTTTTGATATAAATACACTTTTACCACAACCGCTTGGCCCGGACACTACTAAGGGATGAGCTGTACTGTCTTTTATGTACCTGTAATGAAAATGATAATATTAATTACGCACAAAAATATGCAATAGTAATTAATTTTAGCATGAATCAATATTACATATCGTCACCTGAAACGCAAACGGCCCTAACTAACCAAAAATTCAAAATCGACTTTATTGTTGATTATAATGTATTGCATCAGAACAAATGTCCACACAAAAAATCCTCCGGCCAAAATTAGCTATTTTATTGACAAAAAACAAAAGGCCCTATTATTATTATTATTAAAGGTAAAAAGTACAATTTATCCATTTTTTTATACGCCATTGTCAACTATCATAACAACTGATAGCTTTCACTATTAAACAATTTGTTTATTTACTACAAATAAATCGCGTTGATAGAAACGAACTTTTCAATTTCAATAGTTTTTTGTTTCTCCTGTAAAATTTTAAAAATGTTAGATGGGGCCGTTTGCGTTTTAGGTGACGATATGTATTTGCCCAGAAATCATACTATATTTTCCTGATAAACGGACCACATTTGGTCCAAAGCCTTCAGAAAATAATGGCATTTTTTTTTTGCAAATTTACACATAAAGTATCAAAATTTGAAGCATACTTAAATTTTGAGTTTTTCAATTTTTGGACATTAATATAGCCCGATTTTCGCTACAGGTTACAGTAAACTTTCTGACTACTTAAAGTAACATGTGCTAAATGTTATCACGATTGTCACATAATCAACATATTTGTGACAATTTAAACATATGTATATGCAATTTAAACATATACATATGCATATTTTGGAGGGACATTTATGTGGTGAGTAGGTGTAATCGTGCACCGATTTTATATAATTATTTTTCCAAAATAGTTAAAGTTCTAAAAGTGCAATTGCGGTACGTCCGATCATTAAAAAAATCAACAGTATAATTTATGCTTATATAAAACTAGTTGTTCTGATTTTAGTCTACATGGACGGTTATACATAAATAAATCGACTCCGAAAATGATTCTGATCCGATCGGTAACTTTAATGTGTGACCAATATTTGTATGCACTATAAATATCAGTACAAACCTTCCCCCGTCGTATAGAGTATAATTAGACGTGCCTTGACACTTGCAAAATATGCTATGAAATGACATATAGGCAATTCCATATCCAAAAAATTCATCCCACCTTGTTTTCCAAAATATGGATTAAAATAAAGTTGCAACATCAAGAAAAAACTAAATAATATTCGTAGTCTATGTTTCAAGACAAAGTTGACACTGTTGTTAGTCATTTTCTGGACATTTTACTGCCAACGTAGTAAAATCTAACAACATAGCTTTAGTCTAATACTGATAGTTATTATATATGTATGAATGAATGTATGTATATAGTACTTAAGTTATTTAAAAATTTGTACAAACCTTTTTATATCATTCATAATATCGAAATTTGGTGAGTTTTGAGCTAATATTTTGGAGTAATGTCCAATTAATTCAATTTCTTCTAGAAGAACATGATCGACTCCATTTGTATTATATGGGATATTATTTTTAGTGACGTGTTCTTCAAATATTGATGCAATGGATTTCTCTAAGAGATTTTCAATTACGACGGCTAGTTCATCATCCAAAATATTCATTGTCGGTAAAATCCGAATCAAGTTTTTCTCCGATAAATGTGACTTCAGTTCTGTGTAAAGTTTGGACATACGTCTAAGTACCTCGAGATCATAGGCAGTGGCATTTTCTGGAGCTTTCATGTATTGTGGACCGGTCTGTATCCATATACAACGTTTTGCAAGTTCCTGGCTCATAAGAACAGTATTGTTGACTTCCTGTTCGACAACGGTCGACATGTATGAATCTTTAAGATCATCCGAAAATAGTCTCAGTAGTACTCCCAACAACAGATTCAGCTCGTCATCTTGAGCAGCGGAATAATTTTTACAAAGTTCAGTATTTAAGCGGTGACACATGGGCTGATAACAATTGTCGATAATGTACCATTTTTCCAAAAGAACTTTCTCGTCTTCATTGGCCGCCGTCAGAACTTGCGTAAAGTCTTGACTTTCAATTGTCAGTGGCAGCATTGGAATGCCGAGAGATGATCCTAAAAATAATATAGGAATCACATATGCTGACGAGGTGTGTCGTGTAATTTCCGACAGACAATTAGCTGCCTCTTCATGACCACCCTGTGCCTCCAATGGACTATGAGTCCAACGACTTGCTTCCATCAATCTTGAATAGTTACTAACTCTGTTGCCTGTATCGACATTGTGAACATCTGAGATAAACATTTCAAATCCTTTGCTTTGACATTTTTTTGCCAACTGCTTGTGTAAACTATAAACTACGCGCTTATGTTTTTTATACTCTGGACTATTATCAGCCAGTATATAGATTACAATTTTTTTGTTCCTTTCGATCTTTCTTCCGGGTAAAGGCTTCCCTTGTAATATGGACAAATACGTTGTGGACGTATTTTTCGAATCTGATACATCAGCTTGTGTAGTATTCGGCTCAGTGTTGGGTGCTGTAACTGTTGCTGATTCTTAAAGGAGACATCAATAAATTTTAGTAAAAAATTACAAAGTATGCAATTAAGTAAGGTCTTACCACTTGATTCTTTCTTATTTGTTGACGCCAATTTATCGCCATTACGACTATCTATAAAGTCATTCCCTTTTACAGTAACAGCTGATTCATTATTTGTTATATCAGGCACATTTTCTGGATCGGCTAACGGAGCCTTCCTTTGATCACTGTTATCGTTTACATTATCTGTTTGCTGATCGTTTTTATTTATATTATATGAGCTAAAAATGGATAAATAATAGTATAGTGAACTTAATTGTAAATAATTGTATATTCGTACTCATCCGACTTCTCAGATATGCTGTCTTTTTTCTTGCTTTGGCCAGAACTGCAAACATTTCCCATTTTTGTGGTCTTCTGCAAAATATATAAGTATATAAATGTTTTTGAGAATTTTTAAATCACAAAGCAATATTCTTCAATATGCAATATTAAATATTTAAATCCCATTAAAACAAAGGATTTTTTTATTGGGAGTTAGGGTGGCCCCAAAATTTAAGTTGCTGATGTTCCCACCGAAAATGAAAATTTAGTTCATTCTTAAATACCAATTCTCAAAATTTTTGTACTGACGTCAAAATTTGGTGAGCTGGATCAAAGGATAAAAAGGTCCTTTTTTAAGGTTTTTCTGATTTCTGGCGATTTCAATTACATAAGACCATTTTGTATACGAATCCTTAAATAATTTACGTAGAATTATTCAATGTAATTAATTGAAATTATTATTCACCGAAACGGTTTTTTTCAATTTTTTTGAAATTCGATATGTTTTGCATTTCATTTAAAAATTTTAAACCCTAATTTCTCCCCGATATTGTGCTAGCTATATTTATCTTACGTACTTAATATGTATATCGCAATTAATATAAGCGTAATTTTATTAGCTTTACATTGGTATATAACACTTTATAATTTCATTCTATTATAAATAAAATTTTTCAGTTTGAGTGTGTGCCAAATGATAGCAAAGTTCTATGGTGGATTGTAATTTTCCTATGGTGGGAACATTTTTACATTATGCTGTGCCAAACGATATATTTTCCTGTTGTGATAAATTTTGACAATTTTCACTGATCAATCCCGAAATTTTAACACTTCCAATAAAAGTAAACATTTTTTACGTCCTTTAAGAATTTTATAAATGTCTTTAATATAAAACGGATTTTGAAATGAAATTGTAAATTTAAAAATTGTATTTTTTTATATATTTTTTGTTTTGCAAATTTTTTATTTTCATTTGTTAGAAATTTATGTATCCCAAAGAGCTAGTAAATTTTTATTCACCTCATATTTATCAAACATTTACTTTTACTAGTAAATTGCTATCGTTTGGCACACACTCTTTAACTAAAATACTAAGACAATTTATCCTAAAAATCTACATGTTTGTTACGCTTGCTTTGTTGATAACGGTTTGTATGTTGTTGTTTACATTATTTTTCAATGTTTTGGTAGCGTACGTTGGTTTTGATAATATTGAGGATTATTATGTATTAATTTCAACGAATTTCCTATCATTCCTATGAAAGAAAATGAAAAAAATCACAAAACTTCAAAAAAGGACCTTTTTATCCTTTGATCTATCTCACCAAATATTGACGACAGGATAAACATTTTCAGAAACGGTATCTTAAAATAAATTAAACTTTAATTTTAGTTGAGAACATTCACACCTTATTTTTCCTCCATAAAAACGGGGCCACCCTAATGTACTTCCATGTAATGAATATTCCAAAGTTCAGAAATATCGCTACTTCAAAACCCCTACTATTTCTCAAATTCTTTTTGAACTGGATTTTACAAATTCCTCAAATTAAGATTTTTTTTTTTTGTTTTTCACATTCGATTTTAAAATTGACCTTAATAAAGAGAAATTGACAACTTTTTAATTCAATTCAGAAAAGATCAATTGAAATTAAGATTATTCATTGCAGAAAGGAGCATTTTAGAATCAGAAAATGTCAATTAAATTTGGGAATTTCCATTTCAAATTCGGAATAAACTAATTTAATTTGCATTCTTTTTAAATGATATTTTGAATGTTGTTGTTTAAAAAAATCAAATAAAAAAGTTTCGGTTAAATTTAATGAGGTTTCTGATATATTACCTCAAGCTTGACGATTGTTTAAATAATTTAAATAAATTTTTAATTTTTGTTATATACAATAAATACAATATTTTTTACGAAAAAATCACCAAACTATAAAGCAATTAAAAATATCACAGGATGTACTCTGAAAAAGCTCTAAGCTACCTCAGACTTTAAGAATGTGATAGTAGACTGAGCAAAATGCTGAGTCTGGAGAATTTCGGAAGAGAATTCCTTTTCAGACAATCGGTACAAACGATTCAAAATACTACAGCCACTACCAAAGCCGATTAAGTATCGGAATAAGTCTAAAACGATATTCGGGACCTTATTTAAGAACCGCTTAGGAAAGACAATTTTTCGATGTCGAAATATAGAGGTTATAGAAGACGCCAAAGTAGAAAAGTTCACAATTGTCCTGGTTGAAACGTTCGAGGACAGATGTCCTCTGCTAGAGTCCCAGGAGAAGTCATTTGTAACAGGGGACGTCACGAACCTTGGAAAGACTCTTCGCAAACTTTAAGCGTGCACGACGCAGGACCAAATGGTACTTTCCCGTCACTTTTGCAGATGGAGGCGGGGCTGTTTTCGATTCATCTGTCAAAGATTTTCTCTGCATGCTTAAAATTCGCATATACCCCAATTAAATGGCAGGAAGCAAGGATAAAACCAGGAAACCCTAGTTCTGCGACATCAAAATCCTATTGATCATACGTCCTTCCTACTTAAAAGCAGTATACCTACCAGACAAAAATCTCAAATATACGCAGCATGGTTATGTACAGGGATAATCATCGAATTCGCCTTTAATAACGTGTGTACTGATACTCTTATTTAATCCTTAGAACTGTTTTATGTTGACCGGGTGCTCCGTAACTGGATCAATTAAATGCTAAGGAACAGATGGATGAGCTGCGAGATGTACGATATAACTATCAGAAAAAGGGTATTTCGCGGTACACCACAGGATGGTATTTTGTCCCCTCTACTCTGGGTAACCACGATTAATAGCATCCCCACCGGGTTATGTTTCCTTGATGATATATCCCATCTTGGTGTGTTGCAATCCCAGGGTATAGAGGTGCTACCATTATCTCTCGTCTGGGACTATAAACTGGTGATAATCAAATGTATTCTCGGCCTTTCCTTGGAATGATTTGACATGGGGTCGAACCAGAGCGTCAGATAACGTGGTTATACGGGTGGACGGTTGCCCGCAGGACTTTGTCCTGGCTGGTCAGTTGGTTGAGGTTCCTTCGGGATCCACGTAGTGGCTGTGGGAGAACTTTGGTTTAAGGACTGATATATCCAAATGCCATATACATATGTCTGGATTCTCTCTCCGGTGCTGTTGCCATCTCAAAATATCACTGGGTGATTTGACAAGGCAACTTATGATGGATTCCTGAACCCGTTATATAGATTGGGAAATTGTCAGATTGACTAGTACTGATTTAGTATACGTTTTACTTCAGGGAAGTTCTCGGTGCTGTTGACATCTCAACATGATGCATCTGCACATGATTGTTACATGCTAAGCGACTAATGGTCCACTCATTTTGTCAGGGCAATTATTCGTTTGACTTTGGAAATTTCTACATCCTTTGTCATATTATCTCGACATATAGAGGAATACTGATCTATTGGCTGGGTATTTCGGACTACCAAATACGCCTCTAGGTTGTGCTACTGAGGGACGAGAAATCTGAGTGGATCACCAGAGGATGGGGAAGCTACGGTGTCCCTTATAACAACGTACATATATACTTGGTAGTCCATTTCAGTGTTACACCGAAATTATGGATTTATCAGGTGCGTTCTTGTACATGGACCGGCAGAACCAACTACAAAAGTTGCAACCTGAATGTTCTTCTTTGAAGTCACTAGGGGGTGCGTGGCAGACCGTTCTCAAGTTTACCCAGTGAATGAAAAAGAACTGAACACGTCATCAAGGTATTCACACACATTGGAAGGCTATACAAAAACATCCAACGTGCCGGATTACATACCAGACATAGAATATATCGGGAACTTTCTTTCCCAGAATTATACTACTGTTTACCTAATCACAACACTTGCTTCCGGAAGAAGTCCGAGCAATAACGCAATACGAAAATTGGATTAAAATCAGGATGACGCCTATATTTACCAACTGCCAGAAGGCAATTAGGGTGATAACAGGTGATAAGGTTAAATATAATTCAGTATGGGATTATTAAAAAGACCTAACTGAATACTCGCATAGAGGTAAGTTTTGCGTATATAGGTACCAGGCCACTCGGGATTTGGCGACGACAGACCGTATTTACTTGCTTGACAAACACAAAACCATTCGACGTAACGAGGGCCGAATTAAGGCCTCTTGAAATAATGAAACGGTGGGCAGAACCATAAAGATCGTATTGGGTTACTCCTAACGGGCGAATGGTGGGAAGCCTCCTCAAAATGAGCAAGTCTGAGGTTAGTGTGATGATACGTATTTTGAGTGGACACACAGCATTACGCACACAACTATACAAAACTGGATGAATCAGCAGTATCACTAAGGATTACAGGAATCTCATTTATACCGATTTTTGTATTGATCGGACCTTATTTGACCCTAATCCCCATGCAAATCCTCCTTCAGAAAATAACTTTAATTCCATAATTCTTTTAATAACATTAATATCACGATGAAATTCAGTATAAATAACTTTTATATAAACCTTAATCTTTTCATTAAGTTTTATGAGAATCGGCCGATATTTAACCCTATCCCCATATAAAGAAAGAGGCTTTATATGGGGGCTAGGGGCAAATATGGACCAAGCCCGATAAAATTTTGTGAATATATTTATATTAACATAATATTTTATTGTGCTGAATTTCATCGCGATATTTGTGTTTATAAGTTAATTTGGGACATTCAAGTAATTTTCTGAAGGGGACTTTGTATGGGAGCTAGGGTCAAATGAAGACCCGATCTTTATGAAATTTGGTAGGGTTATCAAGACTTCTATAAAACTTAGTTGTGCCGGATTTTATCGATATATCTGTATATTTAACATAATTATGAGCTCAGAAGCCCTTTTCGGGGGGTTCTGTTCTATGGGGGCTAGGTGAAATAATGGACAGATTTTAACCATTTTCAATAGGCTTCGTCCTTGGGTCAAATAAAACGTGCGTACCAAATTTCATCCAATTATCTTGAAAATTGCGACCTGTACCTTGCGCACAAGGTTTACATGGACAGCCAGCCAGCCAGACGGACGGACGGACGGACATAGCTTAATCGACTCAGAAAACGAATCTAAACCGATTGGTATACTTTAAGGTGGGTCTAGCACGAATATTTTTGTATGTTACAAACATCAGCACAAATCCAATATACCCTCCCCACTAAAGTGGTGTAGGGTATAAAAAACGGTGCAAAACTTACATAAAAAATATGTTCGCAGATAAACTTAATATGTGTTGAGATTCAATTAAGTTACGGACTTATAAGTGCTTAAAGGTACGAAACTCCGTTTTTACCTGTATTTCAAGATTTTGAAGGTGTTTGGTAAATTTCAAAAACAGATTCTTGTTCTACTCGGATCCACCTTTCAGAAAAATAGTATCACTTCCCAGGTATTTAATTTTTCGTTTATTTTATCTCTCTGTGTAATTCAGTTAAAACTCATTTATTCCAATAGAATTTTATGTCTGTTGTTAGAACCTACCAAATTCGATTGGCAACAAACACGCTTATCACAATGAATCTGTTTTCTCTGTGTATAAAAACAGCTTAAACGAATATCAAGCTTAAAAATAAAAAAGGTGATGACAACTGTTCCCCATGGTCGATTCACATCAAGGGCTTTGGCTGCGCCATAAGCTGAAGCCAACTAGGGATCAGTGTGATTCTAACCTGAACAAATAAAATGTTCTGAGTGGCAGTTTTACATCGGAAAACTATATAATACAAATATAATTTATTAAATATTCATATTTTAATTCGTTTCAATTTATATTTTATACATATACACAGATATATGTACATTAAGGTGGCCCCAAAAAGTAAGTTGTTAACGTTTCCACGGAAAATTAAAATTAAGTTCATTCTAAGATATCATTTTTCAAAATTTTGATGAGCTGTATCAAAGGATTAAAAACATCAAAAAAGGACAAACATTTTGAGAAACGGTATCTTAGAATCAATTAAATTTTAATTTTAGTTGGGAACATTGACACTTTATTTTTCCTCCATACAAATGGGGCCACCCTAATGTACATATGTACATATATATTTTCAAAATACTTTATATTTAAATTTATGTAGTACAATGTACATTGTACATACATATGAAGGTATATTAATAAAAAAGGATACATACAATTAAAAATTTAATATTTTAATATTAATATTAAGCGGTGATTAAACATGGGTAAGTAATTGAATTTTTTATGTTTGTGTATTGAACTATTGCAGATTGTAAAATTTATTTTTTTATAATAAATGTTTATATTTTATTTACTTAGATGGAGAGGGTAATTTTAGATTAGATGGTAGTAAAACTTGTATTACGATTCGTATGTTTTTCTAACTATAGACGGAACGCATGCTCGACAAAGAGACAGACGTCTCTTACACACACACACTCACTCACTTATAGAACATTATTATCAATTTCGTTTTGATTTGTTTTGTTTGCAGTTAAAGACATTTATTTATTTTTTCTTTTATTTTGTGTACACTTAAATATACATCTTTATTTATTTATTTATTAGAAGACACTAGTACATGGACACATTTTTATATTTGTACATATGTATATCTTTTAAATATATATGTAAATTACATACATATATATAAACATAAATATCTTTTTATAATAATATATACGTATGTATATACAAAGTATATACATACTTACATATTTATATATAATGTATAGAAATTCGTTTATACCATTAAAAAAAAAACAAAAATAAGATGCCAAATTATCTAATTATAATACTCTTCATCAAATTATACAAATCTTATTTCGTCAATATGTAGATTTATTTTTCTTTTTTGGGGCCGAGATGAATAAAAGAAAACAAAAAGAATTCTTTAGTATATCTAAAAACGTATACTACATAAATAAAATGTATCTACATACATATGTATATACGTATGTATAATATCTAGATATACATATGTGCAGTTAATAAAAAAATAAGACAATTTGCTTAATTTTTCAATCACTTTATAGACACCAAACTTTATAACAATTTAATTCGCACTGTTTTTTTCTATACATTTTTAATGATTTATAATCCTATTTGATATTCATAAAATGAACATTTTATAAAATATTGGATTGGATATTTGTATAAAAATATCTTAAATAATGTAAGTATACATGTTTTATATTACATATAAATTTATAAAATTTTATAAAAGCATATACACGCACTGAATTATTGAATTTTATGATTTATTTGTATAATTATTTACTAACTTTTTTTTAATTTGCTGTATTTAGAATTGTGGTATTTTTTTATAATTTTTTTTTTTTTTTTTTGTTATTTTATCTAATTCTTGTGATTTTTTAGTTTACTTTTTCCCGTTTTTCAATTTCGCTACATTTTTATTGCTTTGACTAAATAACATATTTTCCTGTATTATATTAAAATAAATATATATGTATATTATATTGAAAGCTTAAAGCTTTATGGCATGTACCGTTAGCTTTTTCTTCAAAGCTTTAACTGTTGGCAATGCCATGAAACATACATTATTGCCATAACAAACAAATACAGATTGCTAATAAATAATTACTACAAAGAAATAACATGTAAAATACATATCGCCCATTTACTACAAGACTGGCATAATTCTAAATTAGGGTGTTTTGAACAGTGTATTAAAGTATTTCAAGTAACTTTATGTGTTATAAATACATATATTAAAGGCTCTAATAAAAACGAAATTGAGAATTTTGACCGCCCCCTCTAGAATTGTTCTCTCGGTTATAAAACTATGCCTTGTAAACAATTAGGCTGGTAGGATAACGTTAAAAGGTGCCTCAACGACTCTGAAGTTTTAACGGGAAAATAGCGATTTTTTCAGTTTTGCTAAAATTTTGCTCTTTATTGTAAAGAAATCGTAATGTACCCAGAATGAGCATTTCAGAAAGATATATATATGTTTTATACACAAAAAAAATGGTTTAAAATTTTAAAATTTATTGAAACATTTTTGGGAAATACATATTTTAATAAAATAATGTTGTTGGATAAAAAATATCTATAATTACTTCAATATGAGTTTCTGTTATCATGACGTAAACCAACCATGGTAAAAAGATTGATTTTTTAAACGGCCGTTTCAAAACTCCAATTTCAGGTTTTTTTTTTGAAACTTTGTTAAACAAATTTTAAAATTTTTAGGAGATCTCATCTCTTTTGAAACTTTGTTAAACAAATTTTCAAATTTTAGGAGATCTCATGGAGATTTGTGGACAATAGATAAGGGAATAAAACTTTAACAAAAACAAGAAAGAGTGCTATATTCGGCTATGCCGAATCACTATCAAACCGTATGCCGTAAAAGGAATGCTCTCCTATAAACATCAGGGTGATATTACTCATCAAATTTACTAAAAACTAAAAGTTTCTTAGTTTTTGGCTCGTAAGAAACTTTTTTATGTAAAATTTAATTTCTACACTCGCACAGTGGTATAGGAAAAAAAAAGAGGGAAATAATTCGGTAACTTCCAAACGGTTAATCCGATTTTGATGAAATTTGGTATGCACAAAGAGAAGGTGTTGTCGAGTTTAGGTTTTGAATTTGGACCTTATAGGCCAACCAGGGGCACGGCGGGGGGTCCTCAAATTAGGACACCTCGGCTATGTTAAATTTTTAAAACGATCCTATTTCTTCATTTGAGTTCCGATTTAAAAAAAATTTCGTATATAGAATCTCCTCATCGAGCACTATAAAAAATTTAAAATTTTTACCGTCCTTACTTTAGTTTTTTGATAATAGCGGGTCCAAATATTCCCGATTTTTTTTTATTCGCTTAACAACAAGTTTATATATCAAGCAGTGAAAGAATTATGTAAAAATCATGACTGAGTCCAAAGTTATAGGCATTTTAATTTAAAAAATTAAAAAATAGGCGATTTTTTGCCATTTTTTTGGGAAAAAAGTATCTTTTCCTTTTTAAGTTATCTAAAAAGTTTCTAAGAAGATGTATATAGAATTTATACTTTTTGGAAAACTCAACATCTTTTAGAAAATTTACCTAGCACTATTATTTTCATCCATAAGGTTAACTCTTAAATTTGTTACATATATGGATGAAAATAATAGTGCTAGGTAAATTTTCTAAAAGATGTTGAGTTTTCCCTAATTAATTTGTCACTTAAAAAACATTAAGTAGGCATGTTATATATCAATGGAAAGGTAATTTTGTCTATTTTTCAAAACTTCTTTTAAAAAAAATGTTTTTTATTCAGTTTTTGCGAAGATACAAATTTTTCAAATTGCAATAAAAATTTTATTTATGAATATTTTTTCATGAAATTTTACAGTTAGGTAGATTTTTTTACTCAAAATCCATAATTAAATAAAAATTTCGAATTTTCTTATTAGGAATCCCGGAATTCCCAAAAAAGTTTTAAAAAATCCCAAAAATGGGATTTTTTGGTTTTTTGCCTATTATATCCATACCAGGGGCGGGGTTATCGAAACCCGTTACAAAATGATTAAGAACATATTGGGTCATATAAAACAGGTCACTATAATTTGATATCGACTATGCGATTTGAGAATTTTTGCTCAAAATTGAATTTTCCATAAAAAAATAGGGTTTTTTTGGATGGACCTGGTCCCCTCGATATCAACAATTTTTAGGTTTTGTTTCATTTATCGTATTTTATGTAAAGTCAGCTTTCCAAAAAGTATAAATTTTATATACATCTTCTAAGAAACTTTTTAGATAACTTAAAAAGAAAAAGATACTTTTTTCCCAAAAAAATGGCAAAAAATCGCCTTTTTTTAATTTTTTAAATTAAAATGCCTATAACTTTGGACTCAGTCATGATTTTTACATAAATCTTTCACTGCTTGATATATAAACTTGTTGTTAAGCGAATAAAAAAAAATGGCGAAAATCGGGAATATTTGGACCCGCTATTATCAAAAAACTAAAGTAAGGACGGTAAAAATTTTAAAATTTTAATTTTCAAATGCGAATGTCTCCTAAACTATAAGAAATAATTTACTGCTACGACGACATTTTTTATAGTGCTCGATGAGGAGATTCTATATACGAAATTTTTTTAAATCGGAACTCAAATGAAGAAATAGGATCGTTTCAAAAATTTAACATAGCCGAGGTGTCCTAATTTGAGGACCCCCACCGGGGGGTCCTCATAATTCGGTAACTTCTAAACGGATTAACCGTTTAGAAGTTACCGAATTATTTCCCTCTTTTTTTTCCTATACCACTGTGACTCGTACTTATAAGCCAGTAATGAGCGTTAAAGTATTTATCTGGAGGGGACCTTATATGGGGGTAGGGTCAATTATAGACCGATACACATAAAATTTGCTAGAGAGGATTTTGCTCGTAAGAGACTTACTTATGTCAAATTTCATTGCTTTACTCGTATTTTTAAGAAAGAAATGAGCGTTAAGGTCATTTTTTGAAGGGGACCTTATATAGGGGGTAGGGTCAATTATGGGCCAATCCACAGAAAATTTGATAGAGATTTTGACTCGCATGGAACTTATGTGTGTCGAATTTCACTGCTATACTCGTATTTTTAAGACAAGTAATTAGTGTTAAAGTCATTTTCTGAAGGGGATCTTATATGGGGGTAGGGTCTATTATTTACCGATCCACAGAAAATTTGGTAGATAGATTTTGACTCGCATGAAACTTATGTGTGTCCAATTTCATCGCTATAATCGCATTTTTAAGCCAGTAATGAGCGTTAAAGTAATTTTTTGAAGGGAACCATATATGGGGGGTAGGGTCAATTATGGACCTATCCACATAAAATTTGATAGACCGAATTTGGCTCCGTATAAAATTTAGTAGGGAGATTTTTGATCATATAAAACTTATTTATGTCGATTTTTTTTTATTTATTTATTTCATAGTATACATAATTCAAATTTGTGTGTAGCCTCAGCGCCATTAAGGCATTATTGAGGCATGTTGGCAATATTACTTGTATTTTATAATACTAGAAAAAAATGTATTATTTTAAGTTTTAGTTTTTAAATTATATCTATGTAGTTTCTTTTACAATTAAATCTTATATTATCACAATAGAAGCGATTCAACATTTTGATATATTTATATATTCTTTAAGACCTGTTTTAAATTGCGATATTCTGTTCTGCCTCTTCAAAATGATTGGTAATTGATTGTACTTGTAGCATCCCATATGTTCGATTCGTTGCTTAGTCGCCTCTAGTCTGCACTTTGACTCTCTTAGATTTAGTTTAGTAGTTTAGATTTATAGACACCAGACTATAATTGTTTGATTTTGCACGAGATTAATGGTATGATAACCGATATTTCTTAAATTTTTAAATATATACATCAAAACTCGATAATGATATAATGCATAAATTGGGATAATTGATTTACAAATATTTTCATACAAAGATATAGTTGAGTATGTAGTTGGCAAATTATAAACAACTTTCAATGCTTTATTCTGCAATGTTTGAAGAGTTTTTAAAACGTTTGTGTTTTTAAGCCTATATATCATGACCATGTAGTTTAAATGGCTTTGAATTAACGATTGATATAATAATATTTTAGTCTTTTCGTTTAACTTATATCTCATTTTATAAAGTATACCAATTGCTGGTGCTATTTTGGTTTTGATTTCATGAATATGCAAATCCCATGATAAGTTACTTTGCATTGTTATTCCCAGATATTTTATTGAATGGGTTTCATATATTAAAGAACCATCAACAAAATCATTGAAATCGCTGGTCATGGAATGAAAATATGGTTTAAATCGAACTAATTTGGTTTTATTGGCATTTAGTACCAATTTATTTAACCGAGTGAATTAAAAAATTAGTGATCACGTTCACATCACGCTCTATACTAGTTTTTAACATCATGTCAAATTTTTAGGGATATAATAAGCACAAGTCGTCTGGAAACATATGTATATAAACTCCCAGTTAGATTTAAGTTACTTATATCATTTATATACAAGGAAAATAGTAAAGGCACCTTATTAATTTCAACAAGCAATTTTGTAAGGGAGACTAAATCCGAAATCACTTACTTATTGATCACTTATATCATGTATTTTATATTTTATTAGATCTGTGCTTTATGTATGCGCTTCATTAATGCTCCTATATAAGGCTTTATTGAATATATTCTATTTATGCGTTACTAAAACCCTTTTAATAACACTTTTTTAATGTAATAAAATGCATGATTTTTATATTCTTTAATATTTTTGTTTTTTTATTTTAATATAAAATATCAAAACCAAATTTAAAAAATATAAATAAATAAATAAATAAAACACAAAACCTTAAATAAATATAATTTGTAGCATCCCGCGTCTCCTCTGTGATTTCTTCCTCCATATCACTCAGCTCTATCTCATTTTTTTAATTTCTATTCGACCCATA